TAAAAAAAATAGTATAGTTAGTTGTTAGTGGGATTTTGAGTTTATATTAAAATAATATTTAAAATAAAATAATTAATGTTGATTTTATCTAAAAGTATGAGAGAGATGATGTGAAGTGATAGTTATTTAAAATTATGTAAGTGGATGAATAGTGAATTAAAATTGATGTGATGTTTAAGAATGATTGGTTTATATTATTAATTATAGGAATAATAATATTAAGGATAGTAAAATTGAATTAAAATTGAGATAGATTTTAAGAATGAATTAAATGTCAGCCAAATATATGATAAACAAGCAACCCTTTATTGTTTTCTAAGAAAATTAAAAAAAAAAAATTGTACAAAGGTATTTATTTATTTATTTATTTATTTATTCTCCCATTCTCAAACATCTCCAGCGTAGGACATTTGAGTTGTCTCTTTTTCTATGAACAATTGCAAATGGCAATTTTCCGGTGTAATTTTTTTTACCCACTCCTAAGAATAAATTATCTAACTTTGATTTTCTTTTTAATCTTTAATTTCTTTTTGGTAACTGAACTATCGTAATTTAAAAATTAATTAATATAACTTATAAAATTGCTTTTTTTCTTTTTCGGTTTCATGCCTCATCGTGAGACGATTTTACAAAAGATCAGACTTGCTAAACTAAACTCGACTAATTAGATCGATAATTGTAGTAGTTCAACCATTCTTTGAAATCATGGGAGCTCGACTATTCGAATTCATGGAAAATGCGGGAGACGAGCTCTCATGGCGTGTGTTATTCTTTGAAGCTCTATTATCATTACTATTATTATTATTATTATTATTATTATTATTATTATTATTATTATTATTATTATTATTATAAAGTTCATGATTATGATGAGCTTGGATTAAATGGTGATTTAAACATATACATCTCAAATTTAATAATAGTGGAATTTTCTCATGGTAAGTAAGATAATGGGACATATGTGACATTAACGTACGGTTTCTCTCTTGCGTCTATTTTTCAAATAATATTCATAGAGAAGATTGCTATATCCTATGTTTTATTGTAGTTTGTGAATATTCTTTGATTATTTTCAAAGTATAAGAAAATTATATCTTATACTTGAAGAAACGATCAAGTGCCAACTGCCATGTTGGCCATGATCTTTGCTTTCTCATGTGCATGAAGCCATTTATTGTACCAATAATATATATATAATTTTTAAAAATAAACATTGACATATATTTATGGATATATTTATTCAAGCAGAACCAAGTCAAGCAGCTCATGTTCAAACGGGAGCTCATATATTAAGCAAACCAAAGACTCGACTCGTTTAATCTCGTGAATGATCGGCTCATCTTGTTTAATAAATCCAATACGCTAAATGAACTGTTCGCAAACCAAAAACGAAATGTTTGTTCATTAACAAATTCAACTTGATTATTATCATTTAAAGCCCATAAAAAGTAAAATAAAATAAGAAATTAGTTGTTCAATTCGCGAAGAATCTCGAATCGAATAGTTTAATAAACCGAGCTCTTTTCGTTGTTCGATCTCGCTCATCTAAATATTCCAACGAGCCGAATTTGAGTTTTCACGAATCCAACTTGGTTCAAATTATCAAATCTATCTATATAATATATATATATATATATATAT